ACGGTTAATTTTGGCAGTTTAAAAAGATTCGGTTAAATTTATCTTCCGAAAATATGATGGCAGAGTCTGGACTGCTTGTCCAGGCTTGGCAAAATTGCGCAGAAGCATCTGGCTAATTTTATATCCCAAATCATGTTCCACAGATTTCGGCTAAACAATCTGGGAACTATTTTCCGGGTGGTTGAGTCTGGACACACTGTCCGAGCTCGTCAAACAGAAGAATGTGGACGCAATGGTTTAAAATAATCACGTAAAATACTTTATTAAAACAAGGCATAGACCATTCTATTGATTATTAGAATACATTTTCAGATGGCCGAGGCTGGACAAGCTGTCCGAGCTCGTCAAACCTTATGCGTTAAGATTTCAGCCATTACATATTTGGTTTCATCCTTAGTTATATTTAAGACATTTGATGGAGGGACAGATCTAATCCGTACTATGTGAACGAACATAGCATATACTGCGATATATTTTACATATTCGAAAAAAATAAGTGACCATTATTAATTACTCTTGAATTAATTGCTGTGGACTACGCAGATGAAAAAATTATTTTAATACCTCACTCAACCCTCATAGTCTCAGCGTCATTATCGCAATCCTAAATCTTAGATTATAAAAAAGTAAAAAACCGTTCCCTCAGGGAACGATCAGAGTCATGTGATTTTTCTTGACGCATCCTGATCAAATATTGGCTTATTTTATTTGCATTGCCATAATACAAAACGAGAATTCACCAGTCATAATACTTTTATTGTTCCAATCATGTAAAAATATACGCGGAACAAAGTATGACAAAATAACAAATACTTATTATTTATGATAGACTCACGTCTGCGTTACATTCAAGTTACATTTTTTCATTTCTTTTTTTATTTAATATCGAAAAAAAATAAATGCAAATATTCATTATGTGTAAATATAGTGTAAATATATTTCTATACGCTTCATCCATTAGTAGTCATTTGAATTTGACGATTCTTTTGAACGCTGGTGTTCCAAGTGTTTGACGACGCCATGTTTTAAAATTATCTTCCTCATTTTCGGATTCTTCATTCCTATTCATTATTAGAAGGATCTCTTTGACTGTTTCTTTATACGCAAGCTAGAGGAACAGTTTTGAGTTAGACATTTTATATAGAAATAACAAGTAATATTAATAAACTTCAGTCATACCTGAAATGCAAACAGCGTGTCTAATCCGCTTAAAAACATACTGCATGATTCGAAGGATCTCGGAATTTCCACACTACCACCAGTATCGATCATCACATAAATCCCAGGACAAATCAAAGTCATTAGATAACCTGTCCATTTTGTGACTATTTATTACATGAGAAACCATTAATTAGATATTAATTAGATAGGATAAGATTAGCTAAAACATGCATTCCTGGAAGACCAGCTTCATTACCTATGACTTGCCAAGCAAAAACCCGATTAACACCGGTCTTAAGCAAAATATTATCCAGTGAATCCTTCATAAATATTCCCAACCTAATTAGATCAATTAGGTTTTTCTTCTCCGTGTTATTCTTACCCTCTCCCGTCACTTCTCCAAACATCACCTCATAAGCAAAATTGCCTATTTATGTATGTTAAAGAAAAGATTAGAATGCCGATTGTTATTTTTTTTGATTTGTTTTTTATATATACCATTATTGACGATATTCCCAATCATATCGGGTTGTTTAGCTCGAGAAGGATCACCAAAAGCAAGCTTTCGGACTTTTGCACTGGTACTGGACGTGTTTGGCCAAATTGTTGGATATACATAAGCATCATGAAAGAAAATGCGCAATACAGGACTTATTAAATTCGCCACCAAAGTTCCTTCGCTAATTTTTTCCTTCAATGAACGTAACGGAATTGTGTAAGACCTATAAAGTAGTCGAGGAAATTCTTTACCACAGAAAATTATTAAATATGCCTGAATAAAAAAGAGATCAAACCTACAGGTGTTGAAATAAAAACTGCATTCGTTGGAAAAATTCTTCTTCTACCGCTGAGTCGAATGTTTTCGATAAAGAGTTTATAATTATTTTACGAAGTTCGCATAGCCCACCATCATTATCGTCAAGAGCAATCTAAAGCATAATAATCAGCAAAGAGAATATTGCAAAAGATGATAATTTTAATAAGAGAAGAATAAAGACCTCAATATACTCTTGTAGTATTTGTTTTATGTCCCTCGTCACTTTTTCTTTTCCAATAAATCTTGATTTAACGTCCTCTCTCAAATCTTCGAGTGTTCCCCTAGAAAATGTTTTCACTTGCATCTCTGAATAGTTATCCATCTGCAATAACAGAATATGCGATAGACTCCTAAATTTTTAAAAAAAGTAAGGGAAGAATAACACTTTGAAATGAAGCAGTATCTTTTTTGAATCCAGCATCAACAGATATTTTGTACTAAACAGG